CCGTCCATCCGTCCAGCCAGCCAGCCATCATCCATCCATTTTTTTCCATTCGTTCAGCAAACCCAAATTGTGCACCTACTATGTTCCAGGTACTCTACTACATGCTGTGGGTACAGTGATGAACACAATCAAACAAGGTCCCTTCTCTCATAAAACTTATTTCAGGCCCTCGATACTCAAGGTATGGCATGGACAGGTCTCACCTGGGAGCTTGTAAGAAATGCAATATCTCTGGGCAGTCCCAGCCCTACTCAATCAGAATTTGCATTTTAGCATGCTCCCCAGGTCATTTGAGGGCATGTTAACATATGAGAGGCACAGATCTGGAGACTAGATGGGAACTTAAGTTTGGGTGAGACAGAGTACTGTTTTTTAAGACTTAAAACAAATGCATCATAAATAAATGAGACCTTGGGAACAAAAATGGTTTAGGAGATGCTTCAATTTGCCCCTCAAACCCCCGAATCTCTTCACATTTTGAACAATCGCCAACATAGTACTTCTGCCTGACTTTTTATCGCCTAGCATTCTTTCACATTGCTTACTGTTAGTGGAAAGAATAATTGTCCCCGAAAGATGTCCATGTCTTAATGCCCAGAAGCTGTGGGTATGTTGCCTTCCATGGCAAAGGAGACTTTACGGATGTGATTAAGTTAAGGATCTCCAGACTGGGAGATTATCCTGGATTATCAACATGGGTCTGATGTGATCAGAAGTGCCCTGTAAGAGGGAGACAGGAGGTCAGAGGGGAGAGAAGATTCTACTGCTGAGCTTGAGATGGAGGAAGGGGCCTGGAGCCAAAGGATGTAGGCAGCCCCTGGAAGCCAGAAAGGCAAGGGAATGGATTCAACCCTGGAGCCTCCAGAAGGAACCAGCCCAGCCCACATCTTGATTTAAGCCCCTTAAGGTTCTCTCTTTTTTAATTAATCCTCACCTCAGGATATTTTTCCATTGCTTTTCAGAGAGAGTGGAGGGGAGAGAGAGAGAGAAACATCGGCATGAGAGAGACACATCGATTGACTGCATCTCGCACGCACCCTCACCAGGGCTGGGGATCAAGCCTGCAACTGAGGTACATGCCCTTGACCAGAATCCAACCCCAGACCCTTCAGTCGGGGAGCCGACGCTCTAACCACTGAGCCAACTGGCCAGCGCCCTTAAGGCTCTTTTTGAGAATAAGTTTGTGTTGTTTTAAGTCACAAACTGCAGTGATTTGTGACAGTAGCCATAGGAAACAAATACACCCACACTCACCCACAGCACGATTCCAAATTCAGCAGTGTGCTCTTTGATTCCTATAACAGTCAGATCATTTCTCTGACGATTAGTCTGGCTTCAGAAAACTTGGACATGGAGTCTGGCTTTTCCACCTCTTGGGTAGGTGACCTTCACTTGTGAAATGGGGCAGGGGGTGGGCTAAATCAGGGGCTTCCACTGGGCTCCATGGAGCCCCGGGGACTCACGGGGGAGGCCCCTCACCTCCATTCCCTCGCCAGAGCACCTCAGGGCTCTTTGTGCCACATGCCCCGCTTCTGTGGGAGAGTTAATTTGAAGACAACCTTCCACATCAGGGAATGTGTTTGGAAACCACTGCATTTTTGAAATTGTTTATGTTGGGGATATAGAGGCCTGACTTCACTGAGCTGTTCTCCAAGCTCCCTGCCAGCCCCCTGGAAGCACACCCAGGATTTCTATCTGCTTCGCCTTTCCCCTTGGGAAACAGAGAGGGCGTTACCTGAGCCTTTCCCAAGACTAGCTGTGTGGCCTGGCCTTGGGCAAACAAATTCAACTCTCTGAGCCTGTTTGCCCACTGAAAATGAGGGAGTGAACAATGCCCGATTCCCAGCTTTATCTAAGGATAAAATGAAAGGCTGTGGCAAAGCGTGGTATAATAACAGCAATACCGGTAATCATTGCCCAGCACCTACTGTGTGCTAAGTACCGTGCTGTGCCCTTGCTTGATTCTCACTACTCCGTTCTGGCGGAGCCGGGACTCTGCTGGAGGGAAAGGCCGCCTTGGCCTGAACAGCACTGGCCAGACTTCCCTATGTGCACCCTTCCTGGCCCCGGGAGCCCCTCAACCCATGGCCATTGACCCTGCGACTGATGTTTCTGTAAACAGGCTGAAGTGGAAGAGCAAGTACTTAGCATGTCTAAGAAAACAGATTTGTTTGTATCAAACCTCTTGCCAACTCCCCACCCTACCATGACATATTCTTCCTTCTCTTTACAGCAGGAAAAATGCATGAGTCATATAAATGCATATATAATATGTACGTAAAATATATATATAGTACTGACGAAAAAGGGGCGCTGTAAGAAATCCACCTGAAAGTAAGCTCACAGCATGACCTGATCATAAATTCCTAACTGGGCGGGTCTCAGTGGGTGGCCATGCCCCAGACCTATAACTTTTTAGTGAAAGGTTGATCTTTGCCTTAAGCAAGCCCTGTCCATTGTTCTTGTGCACCTAAGCTATACACCTTTGAGATGCCAGAGTAATCCTCCTTTTCAGACCTTTATGAAGCACAACCACCCTCCAGAGAGCACATAATCCTGTTAACTGTCCTGTAATTGACCCCAGCCTTGCTCTCTTCCCCCTTCAAGTAATCTTCCTTACGTTCCTTCCTTAATTCCAAATGCATAAAAGAAACTGCAAAACTGGTTTTCTTCAGAGCATTTGAGATCTTGCTTCCCAGCAATGTTCTTCAGTTTGGCACAAATAAAAACTTATAAAAATTCTCTACAGGTTTAGACATTTCTTATGTCAACAATAGTAAAACATCAGAACTTTGAGATCAGCTTTTCTTCCAGGAGTCCTGCGTTGCTTAGGAAAATCAAGCCAGAGCCCTAAAGCACTGAATGGCAGATGGGTTAGTTTCTCTGGTGGCAGTTTTACTTTGTGGACGGCTGACTTTCCGTGGGATTTGCCCTTGCACATTTCACCAGGTCATTCATGCAGGGGACCTGGAGCCCAGGGAGTGAAGCCACAGATCCTTCCGGCCTGCTTCGAACTCTCCATGTTAGAGGTCACCAAGGGACTTATTTTGCCAGTTTCTGGATTTTTCTAAGACCTTGCTTCCTTCCATGGCAGTCCTGTAACTGATGTGGGCGGGGGGCCTTGGTGTTCATGCCTGAGCTGCCCACCCCTACAGCACCGGGCTCCTGGCCAAGGCAAACAGGCAGGAGCAGCCACCCCTGACTAATGCCCCTCAGTGTCTGAATTGGAAGCCATTGCCAGGGTTCAAGGAAAACCCTGGCTGCTTCCCCCAGAGACCAACAGGACAGGAAAGCTTCAGGACAACATACATGCACATAAAAATATATCTAGTAATAAAGTATATATCTAGGGGCCCCCAGGAGGGAAACCTTCAAGACAACNATAAAAATATATCTAGTAATAAAGTATATATCTAGGGGCCCCCAGGAGGGGGAAACCTTCAAGACAATNCCAGGAGGGAAACCTTCAAGACAATATATCCAAGTGAAAAATATACATGCGCTTCCATCCGGTAACTTCTTCCAGAAGTTATGCTCAAACTTGCCCAGAAATGTATGTGGAAGGATATGGATTGCATTTAGCATCATGCTAAGGGAGAGAGGCTGGGCTCGAAGGACTGCATACTGCATCATCCCATTTCTATGGCATTCTGTGGGGACAGAGGGGACAAAGGACGCTGATCACATGGTATTTGTCTTTCTCTGACTGGCTTATTTCACTTAGCATAATATTTGACAAAGGAGACAAGAACATACAATGAGGTAAAGACAGTCTCTTCAATAAATGGTGTTGGGAAAATTGGACAGCTACATGCAAAAAAATGAAACTAGATCACTGACTTACACCATACACAAAAATAAACTCAAAATGGATAAAAGACTTAAATGTAAGTCTCAAAACCACAAAAATCCTAGAAGAAAACATAGACAGTAAAATCTCAGACATCTCTTGTTAGCAATATTTTTGCTGATATGTCTCCTAGGGCAAGGAAAATAAAGAAAAAAACAAACAAATGGATCTACATCAAACTAAAATGCTTCTGCACAGCAAAAGAAACCATCAACAAAATGAAAGCAGAAGGCAGTTTCTTGATGGGATAAAAATATTGGTGTAGAACTGAGGATTGAATACTTTTTCTGAAATTATAAAACTCTCATTCTTGATGCCCATCCTTTCATTCAGTGGTGTGCTGTGACTTAATAGTGAACCGAACAGACCTGGTCTCTGCTGAGTTGTGAGCTCACAACCTCTCCCCCTCCCCTTATTAAGATCAGGTTTATTGAAGTATAATTTATGTACCATAAAATTCACCCTTTCTAGTGGCAAGTTCTACTTGTTTTGACAAATACATTTAGTTGTGTAACCCTCACCACAATCAAGATATAGAGCAGTACTATCAACATCCCCAAATTTTAGTGTCCTCCTAACCCCAGCTCTTAGTAACAGATCTGTCTTCTGCCCATATGGACCTGCCTTCTCCAGATTGTCATCTAAGTCACACAGGATGTGACCTTTTGAGTCTAGCTGCTTCCACTTAGCCGAATACATTTGAGATTTACTCGTGTTGTTCCGTGTACCAAGAGTTCATTCCTTTTGGCTGCTGAGTAGTATTCTGTGCAGTGGACATACCACTTTGGTGCCACCTTGGGGGGAAAAGACAGAAGGAAAAAAGTAACCTTGACCAAACTGGCCCTGACTGAGTGCGTTTACTGGCTCAGACTATGTTAAATTTTCTCCCGCAGGCAGTTAGGTCTGAAAAGGCAGATTCCATTGTTATGGAAAACTAGACAAAAGCCTTTTTTTGCAACTCTAACTCTACGGATTGAGAAACTCATTCCCTTGTTGGTTTTGTGTGTGTGTGTTAGTTGGGACAATATGGCCCCAGCAGGCCTGAAAGTGAGCAAGGGCCCCAGTGAAGCCCTGTCCCCAGGCTTTATGACAACAGTGCCGAGTCATAGAGGTCCTGCCGGTCTCTAGAGAAGCTCCTTCCCCTGCTGTGTGCCTTGGCTCCCGGGCAGAGTTTTGCCCTTGTGGGCTGATGGGAAAGGATGGAGTTTCTTGGAACCACGCAGAACGCCAGTTACTGTGGCCCCAAGAAAGGCTGTGACTTCGCGGAGCAGTCCCTGACAGCGCCGGCCCCGGTCATCCAGGAATGCTACCAGCCCTACTACCTGCCTGGGTACCGCTTCCTCAACTCATGGAGACCCAGCCTCTTCTACAGGGTCTCCAACGCCCAGACCTGCCCGGAAGGGGGCGTCACCACATGCCACAAGGGTCTCAAGCCACCCACCATCCTGCCCGCGCTCCGCTCAGGGCTCTTCTGCCGCTACAGCCCCCACGACTGGGACCGGTCCAACGAGCTGCAGATGCGCGGGGCCGAGGCCTCGCAGCTGTGGGCCGGCCGGCTGATGGGGGACTCGGTGCGGCTCATGCAGGACAAGGACCAGCTGACGCACCAGATGCAGGAGGGGACCTGCCGGAACCTGGGCCAGAGGCTGTCGGACATCGGCTTCTGGAAATCTGAGCTGAGCTACGAGCTGGACAGGCTGCTCAATGAGAACCGGAGCATGGACATGGTCAGGAGGCGGCTGGAGTGCGCGGCCGACGAGGTGAACTGTCCCTTGCAGGTGAGTGCGGGGCCAGTGAGTGTGGGCCGGGGAGGGGCCTGGTGGCCCCACTGCTTCCCTGCAGTGCAGATCACGTGACAGGCACCTTGCAGGCTGGTTTGCACTGCATCATCCTCTGCAGTCCGTTTTTAAGATAAAAAATACAACCTTGGCCAATTTAGGACAACCCCAGTCAAATCAAGGTTCCTCACACTGAATGGAATTTCTCTTTCTCCTTGGGGTTACATGAAAACTAAAGTATTTATCAAGATATGACAAGCCTGTGTGCGATGGTCTTTAGAGGACATACTTAAAATAGCTGCTTTGTTTTTCTCCGAAGCCCTTAACACCTTCTAACAAACTCTATAATATTCACATTTATTTATTTACTGTTTTTCTCCCTGCACTAGAATATAGGTGCCATGTGGGAAGGGCTTTTGTCTGCTTTGTCACCAATGTGTTCAAGGCCAGCACTCAGCTGTGATGCGCCTGGGTGTCTGCGCTGGTCCTTAATGAGCAATGTCTATGCCGACTGCCTGTTGACTAGGCCAGGGGCTGGAATCCTTCCCAGCCTAGCACAGTGTGTGGCACATAGTAGGCTCTCAGTAAGTATTGTTGGATCAATGAGTGAGCATCCCACTGCGGACATTCTCGACACTTCCCTGGTCTCCCAGTCTCCCCTCATGGCCTGCATCCGTAAGGGTGGCTTTTGGCTGCATGTAAACAGACAGATGACCACAGCGACTCAACCAAATGGGAATTTCTTTTTCTGTCATAGTGAGAATTCTAGAGAGAAACAGCTCAGGCATCTGCAGCCTCCATTTGGCGCCAGAAGGTGGTCAGGCCCCTGTCTTTCTGCTTGGCCATCCTTAGCATGTCCTGCTATCCTACCGCTCGCAAGGAGGTTTCAGAGCTCACATTGCAAGCTCCTGCCTGCAAGGAGCACTGCGAAGTTCCCATCGAGGCAGGAAGGTAGGGGTATGGCGATGTGCCAACTGTGTCTATCCCTTTTTATGGGGAATATCGGGTTTTTCAGAAGGCCCATCATGTGATTCCATTTTTAGCCCATTTGCCGGAACTCACCTGGGTTCCCTAGCTTCAGAGGAGCCTGGGCGAATGTTTTTCTCTGGGTCCTGGAGTGGACATTGAGTAAGGAACCGGCATTATCTGTCTCATGCTGGGGGAGCTCATCTTGGCCACGTGGATGATGCTCTGGGGCTCCCTGGAGCCTGTGGGGACTCAGAACCTCCTGCCTGGAAATCTCCTGCAGCCCCTTCTGCTCCATGTTAGGTGTGGGGACTTCTGTAGGAGAGGTCCTGCGTCCAGATCCCCCCGGAGATGTGGCACAGGGCCCATCCCCTCTGGTGGGATGGGGGAGTCCTACTGTTTCCCTACACCCCTACTTTTCTCCCCTGGGAGGAGAGTGGGCAGGAATGCTGCTCAGAGGCCCAGGATAGCATCCCAAAGCTGTGCTCAACTCTCCCACTCTCTCCTCACTCCCCAGCCTGTCTGGAAAACCCAGTTGTGCCCAACACATGTGGCCTCTTCAGACAGCCACACAGTGGCACAGGGACCAGAGACATCTCAGTTCTATCCACTTCGTCCATCTCCAGGGTTACCGCCTCATTCCAGGGGCCTCTCACTGGACAGTGGTGACTGCCTCCCTCCTGGCCTCCCCACTCCTGCTCCCTCCAACCCATTTTCCAGACAGCAGCCACGGATGATTTTCAGTATTGAACTGAATCTCCCTACTCCCCCAATAAAACCTCCTGAATGGCTTCCTAATGCACCCTTATTAACATCTAAATTCCTGGTCACAGCTGCCAGCGCTGCACGACCCAGCTTCTGCCCAACGCTCCAGCCTCAGTTTCTCCACTCCAGTCCCAGCGGCTTCCTGTCTGTCCCCACCCCCCTTGGCCTTTGCATCTGCTGCTCCCTCTTCCTGGCACAGTATTCCCATTCATCTCCGTTGCTTCTCATGACTTAGGTCACGGGTTGTCGCCTCGGAGAAGTCCCCCCTGACCGCCCTGACACCCTTACTGCACACCTGCCCCACAGCTGTACCGCAGTCAGAAAGGATTGCGTTTCTTTATGTGTTTACTCGAGTGTGCTCTCACCCCTCTGTGTGAGCCCCATTACAGCTGGGCCGCCTCTTTGGTTTACTGCGGTATCCCTAGTGCCCTGACTGAGGGTGACACAGAGAAGGGGCTCAGGGAATTCTGCGGAATCAATGAGCCCCCCTCCTTCCCGAGTTCCCAGGTGCATTGGCAGCCCAACACCAAGATGTCAGGCTCCCCACTCCCTGCCTCCCCCACTGCTCTTTGTGACATCACAGGCTGCTGGCCCATCTCCATTCTTTCTCAGCCTCATTGCAGGGGCTCCCTTGAGCTGTTGCCTTCCTGTCTTCTATTCCGCTCTGCTTATGTCTCCATGACAGTTGTAAGATCCATTGCTATGTGGCAGGGCTGACTGGGTCTTGGCCCTGGTCACTTTCCAAAGCTCTCCACCCCATCCCCCCATTTAGAGATCTCCAAAAATCACTTTTCATAGTCAATCCAATTGACCCCTGGACCATGATGGGTGAGGGACACCGACTGCCCCGGCAGCCAAAAATCCACATATAACTTTTCACTTCCCCAAAACTTAACTGCTGCTAGGGTACTGTTGACTGGAGGCCTTACTGATAACATAAACCATCAATTAACATATATTGTATGTTCTATGTATAATATACTGTATTCTCACAGTAAAGTAAGCTAGAGAAGATAAAATGTTATTAAAATTATAAGGGAGAGAAAATACATTTGCAGTATTTATTTTTAAAATCTGCATATAAGTGGACCCATGTAGCTGAAACCCGTGTTGTTCCAGAGCCAGCTGTATATTCATAGCGATATTGACAGTATTCTGAGTGCCTTACTCTTGTCGAGCTGACTTAACCTGCACAGCAAACCTGTGAGATAGGCACAAATATTGCACCCATCTGCTGTCGTGGCATCTCACAGCCGTGGCGGGGGAGGCAGAAAGCCACTCAGATGCACAATGTGAGGCTATGTGAAGCAGTAGGTTTCCCTTGGGATAAAACAGATCACTGCCAAGATAGATGGGAGTCCCTCCACTCCAGGTCTGCGTAAGACTGCAGGGAGAACACACCATTTCCCACTGCTTCCTACAGGTGGCACTGGAGTGTCTGTACCATCGAGAGAAAAGGATCGGGATTGATTTGGTCCATGACAACGTGGAGAAGAACCTTATCCAGGTAAGGTGCCTCCTGGGTGTGCCCAGGCCCCAAGGGAGGAGGGAGGGACAGCTGGTCAGAGAACTTTCTGAGTTGCCTGCCAGGAGCAGAAGCCATCTGTGCCAGCCCATGCAGAGTTAGAGCTAAGAAAGCCAGGGTGGGGGCCTAGGTTGTGGCTTAGGAACAGGGAGAAAGGTCATTTGGCCCTCAGTCTTTTCATCTCTAAAATGGGCACCATCATCATCATACCAGTAAATAATAATAATAAAAGCCAGCATTTATTGAGCACCTACTATATGTCAAGCACTGTACCACTTTGTATGCATTATTTAATTTAATGATAAAGCAATCTACAATTGAGTAGTTGGCACAGAGTAGGTACTAGATTTTTCGTTTAATCTGGAAGTATATAAAAGAAGAAAGAGGGCAAAGAATGTAGAACCTCCTCAATCAACCCTTATCTGTCTGTCTGGCAGGGAATCATGTGGATTGAGGCAGGACGTGGGCTCCACCCTGATGTTTCAGTTTGTGGGGTCAAGGGTGGGCAGCAAGAGGTGCGGGATGAGACACTGGCCTGGGAGACAGGATGCTGTGAGTTTCCAAGGGCACGGCTCTTTCTGACATTTTCATTGCAGGAGGTAGATTTGCTGAAATGCTGCCAAGAACAAATGAGAAAATTAGCTCAAAGGATTGATACCCAGATGCGGTAAGGGCTGCTTTCTCTCCCTCTTGGAGTTTGTTTGGGTTCCCCAGGTTTTGGGGGGCAAGCCAGATGGACCTCTAGCTCTCGGTGGTTCTTTTGGTCAGGGGTGTACTAGTAAGTGTTTAACAACCAGCTCCTTAGGAAAGAAAGAAAAAAAAATCCTGATTTGGAGCCCTTGCCAATGTCAGGGTGTAGATGCCACCATGACAGGTGATTTCATCCTACCAATAGGGGGCTATGGAGTGTGCACACTGATTTCCATGAGTCAGCACATCGCTGATTATTCCTGTTTGCAATGAGGGCTCAGCAAAAGAAATTGCCCTCATGGTGGCCCCTCTTTACCTGTGGCTTCCCCATGGGAGCTCTGAACCTGGAGAAATGGCAGAGAGTGGGCGGCATTAGGCATCAAGGCAAAGGGCTGGGGAATCTCCAGAGGGGAGCTGGTGGACGCCTGAGCCAAGAGTCTTCAAAAGGAATCAGCTTTTAGTTCTTGGAAGATTATGTAATTGGTGTCATGACAAGCCAGGAGGCTCCCCCATAATTAAAGGGAGGCTTGAGTTTTACGGGGCTTGGGGTCCATAGCTAAGCTCTTGGCACCCAGCTCCTCCAGAGGCGGCCTTCCTGCCTGGTCTTGACCCGGGCACTTGCCTTTAACTCACGCAGGGCATGCTGCTCTGCTAGCTTCCCCTCTCCATTTGCTCAAATATAGATAGGAAGAGACGGCTGGCAACCTTTCCAGGGCACCCTTCCTGCTGTGTGGGGCACATGGGAGGCCAGATGGGATGCTAAAGGGTCAGGCAGTTTGCAAATAGGCTCTGGGGCTTGGTGCCCTGGCTTGCTGTACCCCCGAAACAGCAATCACCTCCTTACCCCACTCCCCACCAGCAGCCCCTCAGTTCCACTGAGGCACTGAGAACTGGGTGGCAGGGATTAGAGAGAAACAGCCAGGACCAAACACATTCAAGGCAGTGTTGAGAGCTACCAGCAGAACTGAGGGCTTGGTCAGGGCAGATCCAGGGAGGCGTCATAGGTGGGGTGTCCGAAATGAGGTGCAAGCACAGCAGTGGCTGAAGGGCAGTTGAATGGGTGAAAACAGGGTTAAATTCTGTCATTTGTGTGCCTCTGTTCTGATTTCTGACAATTCCACCAACTTGGACTACTGCTTGCCTAATGTCTAAAATTAATTCACTTTTTAAAAAAACTTTAAATCCTTGGATTTAAACAGGAAAGTTTGGGCAGGTAAATGACTTTGTTGTATTTTTATTGCTCTTATTCTTACAATTACATATTTTGGGCAAGAGAGAATGATTTTCCATTTTTTGTTGACAAAGTTGAGATAGAACTCAATATTGGGGTGACAGGAGGGCTGAAGTTTGGGGAACATGACCTTTTGAGTTGGCAGAGTAAATGAAAGCCCAGACTTGAAATTGGGAATCTGGACCCTGGAAGAGAAATTCTGAGGCTAGGGTGGGGTGCAAGGGCTTCTTGTGCAACCTCAGGCAATGAAGGGCGAGCTGGGGGAGTTGGGAGAACCAGAGAGACAGAGATAAACCAAGGCAGTCCCATCACCTGGGAGACACAGAATGAGGACTGACATGAGAGACAGAGAGAGACAGAAAAAGAAAGACATGAAGTGATAAACAGTGGTGGTGGTGACACAGATGCGTGCAGACAAAGAGAGAAGTCAGGAGGTGAGTTAGAGACAGAGAAAACAGATGGAGGGGGACAGCCACAGAGAAAGAGGGGAAAAGCAGGAGATGTTGGAATAGCCGCTGAGAGATGAAGCAGCTGAGGCGGGGCT